GTGCATGAAGATTTCTTCATACAGCAAAGTCTCAGCCAACTAAATTAACACAAACACTTACTTTGCCATTTGAATGTTCTGATTTTTAAAAATCTTTCCAGCTGAGGTAACACTGAATTAAGACACGTGTGACATTAGGATCTCAAAATATTACACTGGATGTAATCATAACTGAACGCAAAGTTACATTAAATTAGAAATAGAGATGATTTGTGGCTTGCACCAGAGAAATGCAGAACATTCTAGCACTAACAGTGGAAGTGCTTCAGTTGCCTCAAGTCTAGAAGCCTTTCTATGGCAATTCTGTATTTTACTAGCAGAGCATGCTCAGCATCATACTTACTGCGGTGCTGGCTGTTGTAGGACCAGGGGTGCCACGACCCTCTTTACCAACAACCTGATTTTGTTCTTCAGGACCACGGGTGACAAGAATTCTGAAGTGCTGCTGCCTTGTGTTTTGATCTGGTCTGATTTTAAACAAACATCCCTGCCCTTGAGGAATCCGTTCTACCGAATTGCTTCTAGGTATTTCTGAGCCATTCCTGCCATCTCCGTGCAGTTCTGAATTCGATCTCTCATCATCCATGGGGCTAATTTCTTCTGCTGGGGGCTGGACAGGGTAGGAAGTACTCCTTTCTAGTCGTATCCGAGGATACCTGACCAGTCTGTCCCCTTTTGTTCCAGTAAAACCAAAGTTATATTCGCTTCCCGCACCTGTACCGCTTGGCTGCGGTTGCTGTAACTGGAGAACAAAGAACTTTTTCCCTGAATTTGCTGACATATCTGGCACATGCTGCAAAGACCAACGCCGGGGTTCAGGGGTGGGAGCGGTATTGTGAGCCTCAGTACCGAAGGGTAGTAGAGTAACCTGAGGCATGTCTGCACTTGAAGCCCGATGCTGAATCCTCACACCACTTATGTTTAAACCCGAAGCTGCTTCCGTTGCCTCAACTTCTTGGGCAACTGATGAAGCATCCTCACCCTGCTTATTAGAAGGAATAGTACAAAATATTCTGTGATTACAGCAAACAGTTCCATTAATCTGTTGCCCTAACTCTTCTGGCAGCCCGGGAGGGGAATTTTCAGGAGTTGCCTCTGGACCGCTCGGAGAAGCAGCACGGTTTTCAACAGGGGATGCATAATGCTCCCTGAAGTCCGAGGACTTGCAAGGAGGCGTCTCCTCAGGAGATGCCAGGGCTGCGCACTCGTCCGCGCAGCCGTCCGCAGCTTTGCGCTGGAGAGAGATCTGCATCGAGGAGCTTCTCGTCGGACGCGCATCGATGCTGTTCAGCAGCTGGGGAATAAACATGGATGTACTCCTTTTTAAGGAGCCCTCCTCTTGCAAATCGCCGCCGCCACCACCAAAATCCGCTCCGTGTCGGGAGAAAGCGTGAGGACTGTTTCTTCTTGGCAAAGTGTGGAATGCCATGAAAAAGTCATCTTCTCTTTCCCGGTCGAGGATCTCTGATTCAGGGGCTGTGTTGCTTCGCCCAGAGCCAAAATGAAACCGCAGCCGATGGGCCATGGTTTTACAGAGAGAAGAAAAGGAGAGGGAGAACAGCAACAATTCAGGCACTGCCAGAAGTTAAAAACCAAAGACATAAACTCCAAGAAAAAGTGTCCCATCTGCCAAACTGTTAGCACTGCAGCCCTGATAGCGACAGATAGCAGAAATAGCCCAAGTGGCAAGCAGCATTCCAGGCATGATTGGGTAAGAGCAATCAGCGCTCCTACACACTGTGACATAGGGTAGGATGATGGGAGTCACGTGGCCTCGTTCCCCCTCTCCCATGGAAGCTAGTGGGGGTTTTGTTGTGGGGTTTTTTTAATTTTTTTTTTTTTTTTTTTTTTTTTTTAATGCCAGCAAGAGCCTGAAACAGCACCTTCACAGCTGCTCCTTTTCCATCAGAGAGGAGCGGCCCCAGCGGGAGAGCTCTCACAGCTGACTAAGGCAGCGAACACACTCGGCACTGCTATAAATCTAAACCACATCATATTCACAAGGCACATTTCTATAAAGCGCACACACACAAATTTAACTACAACAAAACCACTTCAATTTAGCGTTAAAAGTTTAAGTCAACTCCACATGCAAATGAGAAGAATTATTTCAAGCTTAATGTTTCGGTGTATGTTACAGCATTAGGCTATCATGGCAGAACATGAATAAATATAGCACGGTTATGCTTTCAATTTTAACTGTGCTCATAGCATGATTAAGCAACAAACTTCTTGCCTTTAAAAAGCCACAATTTTTACACTGCCCCTCCAAGTGCAATATAACCTACGCTACCCTGCGCAGTCCCTTTTAATAATTAAAAATTACAACAAACAAAGCAATCGTACATATGGCAAAGATTTCTCACGCAATAAAAACAGCAGAAAAGTGCAAGGTGGCGGGAGACAAAGTTTCTTTTTCAATTTTACCAGGCAGTAATGACGAGAGAAAACCAGAGACGGGTGTTGCATGTCGTTTTGTACTGATTTGTCTTAAACACCGTACAGAAACTCTGCCCATTGCTGGCCAGGCTCCAGTGGGAAAGTTAGCAATATTACCACAAGTGTGATTGCCAGCACGGAATACAGTTACACTCCCCGAGAGCCAGAAGAAGAACAGACAGGCAGGATACACCAAAACATAAACCAAACACCCTAAATAAGCCCTATTAGAACGCAGCGACTCAGTGGTCTGAGGATACTCACATCTGAAGCGTGCTCACAACAGCACTCGTAGCACATACGAGAAAAGGCACTCTCTTCAGCAAGAATGTAGCTGCATTTCAATACACAGACATTTGCTCCATCGGAGAACTTGAGAAAGTTTTGTCAACAGCTCTGAAAATGTGTAGGTGGAGGGTCAATACTCTATCTAGACATTTAAACCTCTGTTCGCAAGCAGTTTGTTTTCAAAAGACAGAAAATGACCAATCACAAGAGAAATGGAAGCCTAAACCGATAAGACTGCCAACAGACAGCACAATCCCTTATTGTTTTAAGTGGACTATGAGCCAACAAGAAGAAAAACATGAATAGCTTCCACACAGCAACAGTACTGTAGAATTCCTTGTGGAAGCACAGGTGTTGATATTATTTTAGCTTATTTTTCAGATAAAACACCCAAGGACACGGTCTTTCTGCCCCAGAGACGAAGCTTGCATCATACAGTCTCTATTTTGATTGGGGGATAGAAAGGAAAGGATGTACTGCAAAGACAGAAAGTGCTTTAATAATTTGGGAACATGAAGAAGAAACAAAGTTCTTGCAGTAAAAATAATGCAAATATTGACAATAAGTATTTCAGAGTAAAATCAAAACAATCAGTTTGATGTCTCCTCATTCTGTGAGCATAACCCCATGGAACCTGCTACTCTAAAATCCCCAGGGTACTTGCTTTGTCAGCAGCTCAGAACATCATCTCAGTTGAAAGCAACAGCTCCTACAGCCCGGCTTGCTCCTCTGCAAGGAGGTGACGAGCCCACGGGCAGACTGTCTGCAGAAGCAGGGCCACAGGAAGAACAAACAGAAAATGGTGCACCCAGAAAGAAGCACAGAAACCGCCAGAACGAGGCCAGCACTGCCTACAGTAACTCCAAAACCCGAAGCCACACGAGGACACCAAACCTGCCATTTCTCAGCTGTCGCCCTGCAGAGAATTTGTTTCCCAGACTGCCACCCCGCTCCCGTGCCCCGGCGCGGGCCCGAGGGACACCCCACCCCTTCCACGGCCCCCACGCTCCCCGGGCAGCCACCAGCCCCGCAGCAGGGCGGGCTGTGCGGCGGCAGTGCTGGCATCAGCTGGCAACGGGAGAGGGCCTGGGAGCGGGCAGAACTGCCCGAGCTGTCAGCCCCGCCGAGCTCAGGAGGTACGGCCAGCTCTAACAGGACGTGCCGTCAGCCGGACCCTCCTGGGGCGAGAAATACGCCCACGCTCAGCCCGCTCGTAACACGCGCTCTCACGGATTGACTTCCACCTAAAGGAAGAGAAAATCGTGTGGCCAGAAGTCCTCTTTTTCCCCAGAAGATTACAGCTTGTGTGGTTTTCTTTGTTCTATATTTAATGGGAAGACAGAGGAAAAGAATGTATTTTCTGAAGACAGATGCTTCCGTACTGTTTTGTTTTGGTTGTGGTTTTTGGAGGTTTTTTTGTTTGTTTGTGGGTTTTAATAAAAGGATCTTCACAACACCGATCCTAATCTTCACAAAGCAAACAAGTTTAGTAGAGGTTGTACTTCACCCAACCAAGAAAATGTTAATACCTGGCCTCATAAACAAAAAGGTGGTGTCACAGTTTTCAAAAGACAAAAACCTGAAGAGTCCCTCACCCCGTATGCCACTGCACTGGCGTACTTAACATTCAGAATCACAGTGTCCCTTATTCCATGTATGTCTGTGGGTGAACCTTATCTACTTCATCACAACAAAAGCAAGAAGCATTAGGATGTTGGAGGACTACTCTAGAAGAAATACTGCATCAGACAAATTAAGTTCAAGAACAAAACCACTAACAATATACAGGGCATTATGAGGCAGAGAACTTATAACAGAGTGCCTTATTTTGCCGTTACCTTCAGCCTTCATACACACATCTTGGGTACAAGGTGCAGCTCTGGTAACCACATCCCAAAAAAGGATGCCCAAATATTAAACAGTACAGGAAAGACACGAAAACGAAGCAGCTGGTTTTTAGCAGTGACTAAAAAGGCTGGGACTTTATTGGTTTGCAGTGGAGAAGCCTAAGGAAGATTATGATGAAGTTTTTCACTGTCAGAATACTGGGTTAGGGAGGAACATTTTGGTCTGACCCAGCAGTACTGCTCTTGTGTTTAATGCTCTGACTATTAGTCTGAAACACAGATGTTGTTTATGCTTCTGCCTGCATTTCTTAGCACACTTACTTAAACAACAGACAAAAATACACCTTTTAGGATGTGTTATATTTTCATCAGCTGTGCCACACAGAGCCTGATGATGAGTAAAACACAATCAAGATAAGCACTCACCAATCTGTTTTCATCAAACACTTCGAAGAGAAGACGATGATTGGTTGGGTTTACCTACGAGAAAATTCAAATAACGTCACTTCAGGTGCATTAGCTTGATGGTAACACATAGGTACTAGCTCATACAGTGATCAGATCAAGGCAAACTGAACAGAACTCACAGGTTTTATGTAAGTCTAGTTTTACTTAAACTGGAGCACATTGTTCCTAAACCCTACTGCAACTACAAATAGCCCAGCAGTTACCATTAAAAACTCTCATTTACGGTGCTCAATACCAGACACTCTGCATTTCCCTTTCTACAGAGCGCTCTGCCGTCCGTCCGTCCTGCTGCAGCCCAGGCTGCCGTCCGTCCGTCCTGCTGCAGCCCGGGCTGCCGTCCGTCCGTCCTGCTGCAGCCCAGGCTGCCGTCCGTCCGTCCGTCCTGCTGCAGCCCGGGCTGCCGTCCGTCCGTCCGTCCTGCTGCAGCCCGGGCTGCCGTCCGTCCGTCCTGCTGCAGCCCACCAACACCACCTCGGTCCCAGCAAGGGTGGCCCAGCCGAAGTGACAAGCGCTCGGCTTTGGGAACAATTCCCAGGCTGGACAGACTATCACGGCGCCCAGATTTTTTTTTGTTCTATGGCTGCAAAGCCCAACTAAACTGTAAGGAGCAAGAGTTTCACTGTATTTCCTTCCAAATGTCACAATTATCTGTATTTCGGACTGTCCATTGCTCATCATTTCTACCACATTTATCACACATGCCTGTGGAAAACCCAACAGAAGTCTCTTCAACAGTTGAAAACAGCAAATATACCTCTAGAAATTTATTTACATTTAAGTAAATTTAAGCAGAAAGACTGCCAACACTTAAGAGGACAAAGCAAAATGAACTCTGGCAGGAAAACAAAACAGCCACTATTAATTAAGAAAAAAAGTTGTATAGTATTTGATCCACTTGTTACCTTTTTTCAGAAAAACTTTGTAAACCAGGTGACTATGTCCAACTTGTTTAATTAAGAAAACTTTGAAATAATATTCCATGATGGACTGATAATTCCGTGGGGGTGACGATCGTTGATAAAAATCAAACAATTGTGACACACAAAATGGCCATGCATTACTTTATATATTCACATTATTGTTTAGGATTTTCAGGATGTTTTAACAGAGCTGCTATGAACTATACTTGTAGTTTAAGCAACAGAAATTGTGGCAGTTTTGTAGATTCTCTTTTCCCGGGAAAAGTAAATTAATAAAAAGGCTACCTTGAATAGTATCAGTTAAAACGATAACCACAAACATACATAACAAGCTTGCTTAATCATGAGTAAATACATTTCACTTTAAAACACAAGGAATTTGTTCCTTACAGTCTGTCTTACAACTCTGCGTGTTTAGGAGATCAGCACTCACAAAGATGGGCTTACACAGGTGAGGTTATCCGTTTCCAAATCCCGTATGCAGTCAGGATCAAATCTGGGAGAGCTCGAATTGTCTTCAAACAGATAAGAGTCTAAAACTTCCTTTCACTTCCCTTCCCAGTGCAGCGGTCACGACGGTCATCTCTCGGTACAATTTGCCCTCTATGCCGAAGGCAAAGGCATTTGAACACTTCACCATAAAATGCTCTCTTGCTAGGGTAAGGACTTCCTAGCAAAGTTACAGTATTAGAAATTCCGCTGCGTTTTTACGGGCAGGTAGCTTACGTTGTCCCATGGCAGAGCCACCTGTCACGAGCGGTGGCCAAGCATCAAAACCCATTGTGATGGACACGGAAAACCTTAGCCCAGTTCAGACTGAGTGTCAAGACAGTTCCTATGGACTCTGCATAACTTTAAAAAGTGTAAGTCCATATCTTCCCCTCTGAGTACATTATAAAACTAAAAATATTTCATTAGATAAAGATGATTTTAGATACATATTACCCAGCTGCAAAACCTAGAAAAGCTATATGGTACATATTTAAAAATAAAAACTCCACTTGAACTCAAAAACCTGCGTATTAACAATTATATTGGTGGGAACTATTTATCAAAAAGATCCTATTAGCAAGACAGTCGACAGCTAAGATTCTCCAAACAATGTTCAATGCAACACCCGGTTTTAACAATCTACAATGACATCTTTTCTCAAACAGCTGCTTAAGATTAAATGTTAAAAACCACTGAAATTCTACCTCACCTTCTTTTGTGAAGGCTACAGCTGCACTGAAAGTCGTCGTTCTTTGGAAAAGTATTTTCAGCAGCTAAACAACAAAGTTATTGTCCTTCTCCTTTATATTATGTTGGGTTTAATAATCACTACCTCAACCCCTCCTTTACCACTTGCAAGTATTTACAATTGTTTTTTCTCATAAAAATCACTCAGTTTTAGCTATAACTTGGGTTTCATTTTAAGAAAGATTAACATGAAACTCCTCCCTCAAAAGCCTATTTTCACCTTTTTAGCAAGTAGCATAAAGGGCAAGAGAAATCACTTTTTCAATCTTCCTTTTCTACATTTGTGTTTCATTATTTTTTGCCATGATAACTTAAATTTCATATAGGTCTTGGCAATAACTCTGATTATTTGCCACTGTATTAACATTTTAAAACTAGAGCAAGCATGCTCTGCTGAAAATACATTTTCAAGTAAAGACAATTTTTTATTTGTCAGATGAATTAGCCCCAAACTTACTCCAAATAAAGTCTCAAATTGTGAAACAGTCCATTTCTACTTAACTGCAGATCACTCCATCAGTGCAGAAACAGAAGAGCAATTATATCAGGACAAACATTTTAAAGTGTAAATATATAAGCAACAACTGAAAAATAAGCTTCTTCCCAACCTTATAACATGCCATTTTATAACAATGATTGCAAGTAAAGGGAAACTTACTCTAAAATAAAATTCTTCATTCCATTTTGGATTCAGTGTCTGTAAAAGAAAAACATATTTACATACTAGAATTTCTTTAGGTTCGCCATTTTGCAATCATCAAAATGTACATGCAAGTGACAATTTTCTAGGGGGGAAAAAAAGGAGAAAAAAGCTTGTCATTAAAAAATTTAAATAAAAATATTGTCAAGTTATTTAGAAATTCTCTCCTGAGTAAACCAAATGTGGGAGGGTATTTGAGTCAGATGATCCTAAAATAGATGTTAAGCATAAATAGGATTCTATGAGTAAAATGCAAATCACCAAAAACCTATAGAAATAAAATCTGAAGATGTTTCATTCTCAAGATTCACTTAAACCCAGATTAAAAAAGAAGTATTTTTTTAAACACAAGGACAGGGCTGCAAAACTAAGGACATATTTATACTGTAAATTAAACAGAAAAAGGAAAAAAAGAACAAGAGGAAGAGTTACTCCCTTTGAATAGGGATGTTAGCCTTCCTAACCTCCCCAAAGCCTATGGAGGGTTTTAATAACCTGAATAAAATGTACAGAATAAAATACGCATATAGTTTGCAACTGGAAGGGAGCTCAACCATGAAATAAGTTGATAAAAAGAGAGATTATAGCTACAAACATTAACAATTTGGGTGATTCAAATTTGGATAAATTTAAGAACAAGTACGACATGCCCAATGGTCTTGTTTTCATGCCAAATCATTCCCTCATTCTCTCACATAGCAGTGATTTACCAGAAGAGCTGACAGTAAAAACTGGCTCTACACCCACCAAAATTTTGTTATAGCAGAGCAGGACACTCTTGGTTGTTTATCTTAACTCCTTGATACAGATAATAGATCTATGTCCAGGACACAGTGGCTAACTACATCACATTTCTCTGCAAAATGTAAATACAGGAGTCAGACAGTGTTGCTCAACATGCACTCGTACGACTGCATCATGCTGACAACTATACGTCCTCCCTTCCGCCTTAAATTGGGGCTGAATCTCAACCCAACGTATATGTAACTAATTATCAATGAAATCAAATGCTGAAATTTGAAAACCCTGTTCTTAAAAATTGGGGGGGGGGGGAGGAAGAGGAGGACAAAAGGAAATTATATTATTAAAAAAAAGCTCAAACTCTCAACCTATATAAACAGCTATGCAGGTGTTTAATGGCTGTACTCTCAGGAACGTTTAACCTGCTCATCCTAAACAATCTCATGACAAAGCAGGAAAATATTTCATGAAAGAAAAGACCACTGTAAAGTGAAGATGAAAAGAACAGAATGAATGTAGGCGAAGGGTAGGGACAGGGGTTGGGGCCAGAGAGAAACATTCAGCTTTTACTGAATACTTTCATGATCCTCAAGGCAAAGAATACCAAATGAAGTAACAAGGAGAGAAAATGTTCCTTTTTAAATACTTATATTCATCAAATGCAGCTGTTATTGGCAAGAGAGGTTCCATGTAATTTAACAAATGAAGCATGGTTTTGTACTGAATTTGAGGGCACTACCGTCCATCAGTAATGCATTAATTTCGAGTGGTGCTTAACCACAAATACACATTGCAGGAAATACTTGATGTATTAGGCAGCATAATTTTTTGTAAATGCCCTGGTAACTGGCAGAAATTTCTTCCACCTTTACCAATCAAACAATTAGGAGGTCAAATCAGAAAGTACAAACACTAGAATCCTAGCAAAGGAGAAGAACACTTGTAAAGAAAGGCTCCAGAAATAAATGCATGAATAACTTCAGAAAGTGTATTAGCAGGGAAACAACAACAAAAAGACTCATCAGCAAAAAGAGTTACATCCTAAAAAGGGCAAGTATTGTACAGATAAAGAACTGCCAAGAGTCACGCTGAGTTAGATCTTCCACAGGATATTAGAACAAACACAGAGAAGGTTTTTCAACCATATAAATAAAATGAGAACACGGAAAGAAATGATGCTACTAAGCAATGAAGCTCAATGGGGAGACCACGCATATTTAGATATGGGAGATTATGTTTAACATTACATATGGAAAAGGCAGAATAACCCAGAGGGATCTGTACGAAGATAGAAGTTGTCACAACCGAGGTAGAAGTGAAGCCTTCGGAGTGCAGCGCAGTCAGATTGAGGAAACTGGATCATCTTCATCCAGACTTTTAATAGAATTGACACATGAAATCACAAGCCTAGTAGCAGGAATTTAAAGACCATACTAAGCATCTTACAAGATTGTAAGATGGCAAACAGCAAATACAGCTTTTGCTAGTGCAAAAAGATGAGAGCATTTCTAGCAGGCCATTCAAAACACAGCTCCAAAAGGAAACATAAGGTATTAATCAAATTTTACGGTTGGAATAACTGTGTGGAGGGAGGTAAATCGAAACAAAAAGCCTCAGAAATTCAACACAGTTAGATCATGCCAGATGAATCTGAAAAAATAAAGTTATCAAAAGAATTTCAGGGTAAGGAAACAATGTGCATTTAATCTCTCTGGCTGTAACTAAGCACTTCATAAGGCTGGGTGCAGCTGTACAGCAGGAGACGTATGGGACAACTGCACAGGTAATGTAAAAGGAGAATAAAAAGGGGAAACTGCAGTCCCTTCTGCCTTCTGGAAGGCACTCCTGCAAGGCAGTGCCACACCGAAAGGTACCCATTAAAGTGAGGAAGACAAAAAGGAGCAGAGAAAGAAGAAACTAGTGAAGGGTTACACACGGCCTTATTAAAAGAAGAGTTACAGAGTTGAAGGAGATAACTGGCAGCACCTTTCAGAATCACTCCTGAGATTGATTTTCCTTGATATTTTTTTGTTGATCACTAACTCAAAATTAAGAGACACTAATGATGTTTGCTATTTATAAAATAAACAGATTGCAAATTGCGTTGGAAGAATACGGCTTTGAGAGCAGAAGTCTTGAGATGAAATGTAAGAATTCAAACCAGAAATGACCAACTAGAACTCTCCAATAGATGAGTTAAAATTGCTACTATGGCAATGACTGAGAAAGTCCAGGCTTTAAGTAACAGTTACAAGAAACACTGGAAAAAGGCAGATGCAATCCCAGGAGTACATCACCACCACCTCATCCTCAGCCCAGGGCTGGGGTGTCGTGTGAAGATCCAGGGCTTCCTCTTCCTTGATACAATCAATACAATACTTCCACATCTTTACTACTTTTTTTTTTTAATTATTATTATTATTTATGGTGGTGGTCTCAGAAGCTTTCTTATTTTCCTTTCACTCAAATCCAAACCTGGTTAAGTACTGCTTCCGAGCAGCAGTGATGTTACAACCTTATTTCCCATCTAGTGCTCTCATTCCAAGCTCCTAACGACAGGAGCCTACAGTTACGCACTGCAGCCATCCCATTTCACAAAGTGCCACCGTCCACGTTGTTACTATAGCAACCAACTAGTACTCCATTTTGGAAAAGTTAACATTTTTGTCACAAATTTTAATGTCTAAAAACTTTACATAAAACTAAGCTGGATGGGCTACAACAAACATATTTAAAAGGATATAATGAATGTAAAAATGCTATTACGAAACAAGTAGCAATGGTTAACCAGGAAATCTTTTAAAAATTACTTTTACTTTCCAACATCAAACATGCCCTGGGTCCTGTGAAAAGCTCAGTTTGAATCGTCCACGCCTCCAGGATTTTACATCGGTTTTCTCATGACACCTAATGTTCTAATTTTAGAACAGCAACATTCTATTTTGTATTTTCAATAACAAAATTTTCCTCACTACTCTGTTCTGCAATAATGATTTCAACTGAATCATTTTTGATTCCAAATATCTTCATAAAAATGATAACTTACAATTTTTCCTTTACTTTTCATACATGGTATGATTTCTTCCTCTGCCACCATTACCAGTAAATTAAAAAATAAAAAAAAACAGACAAGAACAGAACCCAAACAAAAACAAAACCAGCCTTCAAATTCTTAGAGCCTTGATAATGACAAACATCCCTTGGTAGAATTTTTGTTTGTGTGGAATGAAATTAAGAAAATAATTTTGAAAATTATTAAGAAAAATTAAGAAAATGATTTTGCTTCTAATTAAAAATGAGAATATTTTCAGCGTGTTTCCAGGCTTTTCTTACGGTATACTTCTGTCATTTGGCTATTTTAAATTCCCAGATTAGGAAAATATTTTGAAAATTTAAATTCTGAAAGGGAACATTGAAAAATCATCGCTAAAAGTCAAATAAATGATTATTAAAGCAGTGTTACTTAGTTCTTTAATTAAGCTATGTCTTTCATTAAAATATAAAACTTATCAAAGAAACATCATGAGATTTGCTAAGTCAAACTTTAGATAATAATATGCAACGTATCAGATCATGTACACTGAAGATACGTGTACTTTTCTTATTTTAATTTGAAAAAAGAAAAAGATGGCATTATTCAGTTGCTATACATGTATGCAACAATTTAAATAAATGCTGTGTTATATCACAGAATTCTGTCCCAATATTCTTAATATTTCCAAAACGTTAGAATAAAAAAGAGTACGTACATACCTTTTTAATAGTTTTTGTCTGCACAAGAGCAAGTTCTCTGTTCTCATCTGCTACATACAAGGAAAGTTTCACATACGGGTCACTGCAAAAGAAGATGATGTCATATTTAATGGGGATATAATTTTACCGCCAAATATAATTTCACTGTAAATTTTTCATTTAATTGGATAACAACAGCAGCTCTAAACACTTCTAGTAAAGTGTTTTCAGTGAAACCTAGTAACTGTAGCATGCTACTAAAACATTTAAACTAGGTGTTTCATTATGCTCAATTAAATTCTGCCCGTAGCATTAAAGGTCATTTAACCTGCAGCTTTGTCCCACTGCTATGGACAAGAGCCACTTGCTCGCATACAGCTGCCGCTCACGAGCATGCCCGTGGCAGTCCATTAAAATGAGTCAAGAAAAAACCTGCGCCATGGGTCCTAGAAGAGACTCGGTGGCATTAGCCACCTGAGTTTGACAGGACGGGGAACGGGAATTGCCTTGAGGCAGTGGTTCTGGTTTTCCGGGACCATGAACCCAAGCCGTGTGGCGTCAGCGGCGATACCCGTGTGCCCTTCTGCCCGTCCTGCCCACGCCGTGGGGCTCCTCCTCACCACACGGCCCAGCCCTGGTGCCCCCTGCAAACGGACACTCCCACGCTCATCTCGCAGGCAGCCCACAGCCGTGGGTCCCCCCAGATGCTGTCGTGGACCCTCTCCCCAGCCGGGACCCTTACGCGGACCCAGGGCCGCCTCCTCACCGGCTGCTCCAGCTTGGAGCCCGCCAGCGGACGCCACACGCACTCTCCCGCGCACGCCAGCTCTGGGGGACAGACAGGCACTCACACTCGGCCCCCAGACTGCGACCAGCAGCCCCACTCCAGCCACTGAGCCTCTCACCTGCCTCCTGGATAAGCCTGAGGAAGAAGATGCTCCCGCCTCCCGCAAACCCGGCCGTGCCGAACGGCACACTGACCCCGCCGCAGCTTTTCGGGCCCTTCCCACCACCAGGTCGCCGAAGAACAAACACCACCATAAAGGCTCGCACAAGTGTTTCGGCCTCTGACGCTGAACAACTTCCAAGGTCAGTGAAGCAGAGTGAACATTAAATTTGCAGGTGGGGGCTATTATAACCACCACCTTCAGCTCCACGGAGTAGTACACAGAAGCACCACAATTTTCCATTAGAGTTTATCTGCACCTAGGGAAATTCTTGCCTACTGTGCCAGAACCAACCAGCATGGACAAATCTGGTCTCAGATCTCCCCCCCCAACCCTGCCTCCTCTTTTCAGAAGGAAAAGGAAGTAGAAATACACCAAAGACCATACAGCATTATGTCAGACAACTTTCAGGTATTAAGTATGCCACTAAAGGAGGTCACTGCTTTCACCCTGACTCCAGCTGCTTATCACTCTTGCTCTGCTGCAGATTCTTCTCTCCAAAACTGTTTTTTCTAAATCTCTTTCAGCAAGGAAACAGTAGCTACAAGTAAGGGGTGATGCGGCAGAAGGCTCCATGACACCAGTATAAGATGACAGTCCACCAGATCCTTCCCAGTACAAGAATACTACATCTGATGGGAGGTCTAAAAGGACTCCACAAGACCTGAAGGGACTCTTGAGTGCTACAGCAACCCAAAGCATGCTATTGCGGATTCCACAATACTCACAAATAATATATTCAAATATAACCTTTATTTTACAGAATAAACTAGCATGGCCATGGAGATGATCCAAGAACTGGAACACCTCTCACATGAAGAAAGGCTGGGAGAGTTGGGGGTGTTCAGCCTGGAGAAGAGAAGGCTCCACAGAGGATGTTGCAGCCTTTCAGTACATAAAAGGCCTTACAAAGAGACAGAGAGAGACTTTTTACCAGGGCCTGTAGTGACAGGACAAAGGGCAACAACGGTTTTCAACTGGCAGGGGGCAGATTTAGATGAGATGTAAGGCAGAAATCCTTCCCTGTGCGGGGGGTGAGGCGCTGGCCCAGGGTGCCCAGAGCAGCTGTGGGTGCCCCCTCCCTGGAAGGGTTCAAGGCCAGGTTGGACGGGGCTGGGAGCCCCCTGGGCTGGGGGAAGGGGGCCCTGCCCGGGGCGGGGGGGGACACTGGGTGATCTGTGAAGGTCCCTTCCAGCCCAAACCAGTCTGTGGTTCTGTGCAGTCACAACGTCATCTTAATGTTTTGTAATATCTGTCTGACTTACTCTGTCAACAAACTAAATGTTGCAAATAAATAGAAAACAGCACCTTTAAGCCACATGAAATGTGCTGCCAGCTTGGGGTTTTTTTGTTGTTGCTTTTAGCTTGGAATAGCAATGAGCATTTAAGAAAATGAAAGAGAAAACCGTTACAGGAGAATGTAAAGCAACAAGTAAAGAGGAAAAGAAAGAAGACCTGAGATTAACCACTACAGTTTCTTATCCAGAAGCTGTGACTGATGTGATTTGAAGACAGCTTATAAAAAAGGTTAAGTCACATTATCTGCTTTACATAATGCTAAATTCAGCATTTCATTCACATCTTGGGAACTTGCAGCTGCCTAAAGAAATCTGACGGTATTTTTTTTCTGTGCTCTGAACTCATGATCTGTCCTAGAGCTGGGAAGTCTCACGTGAAAGCTCTAGGAACCAAGGATCAGAGCACCAAACTCATTCAGCAGCAGAGATGGCATCTCATTCACAGATTGTAGCTTCTAGGCCAAAGTTTCCTAGAAGAATTTAGTTGTCTGAAGAATACTCTCCACACACAACTTCAGTTCATGCCATCAGAAAGTAAGAGGACACGAGTATCGGATACCACTGAACACAAACTGTAACAGTTTTCTTCTCCACTTGGAATTAGCTGTAAATAAAAAATATCATTGAAGTCTATTAGGTTGCTTCTCTCACCACATAGCTCTAACCCAACCGAAGTTTATGGGAAATCATCTCATTTTTCTTCATTAGGATGCAGTATCATGGTAATCCCACTGAGCCATGGCAAGGGCTAAAACCAGACATACTTTCAACATCATGAATCTGAGTATCTTGTGTCCAGTTAAAACACAGATTGAAACTTATTTTCAAGCACCATACACACTAGTTCTTAGTTTAAAAGACATTACAGAAGCCAAATGCTCAAGGAAGCATTTCAGTCAATCTTCCTGAGCTACACCTTTGTTTGAAGAAAGCTATGTTTTTACATTAGTCAATTCAAAGGAAGATCTTAGCGACAATAAGTTTGTTACCGCTTACAGGTTTCAGCCAATTCCACTGGGGACAGGGTGCCATCACATCTAATTTCAGTGAAGTTAATGTCTAAATTAAATTGAAATATAGCAAAAGAAATTGTTTCTACATGAGCAGATCTTTTATGAGTAATAAAAAAAATTACCCAAAGGGCATAATTAAAAGCAATTAGCAATGGCTATCCCTATATAGAAAGTGCCTGGTACCAGCCATTCGCCAGGCAGCGTTCAGAACACATCACCATACCCTGTCTGTCACATGGTTTTGTCACAGGACTCTCAATACCTATAGAAAATTGATCAGCTTGACAGAAAGCCTAGGAACTAACCCATAGCAGCCTTCGCCTTCCCATCCCCTACAAGCCAGAGGGAGCATCAGCACACCGACCAGCCGTGAGAGCGGTGGGTGCAGAGCCGGCACGGAGAGCAGTGAAGGCGCCGCCACGGCCTGTGGCCGAAGAGCACGTCACGGAGACGGCAGCGGGCACGCAGCTCACTTAGGAAATTGCAGGGCTTGGAAAATGCTGCTAGTACTGCCAGGGAAGGTGGAAAGGGGAAGAATGGTACATGCACTTGACACCCTAGAGCACCGTAAAAAGAATAGGCTTATTACTGAAACCTTGTTTACCAAATACTGAAAACGAATATGCAGATTCAACCAAATCAAAGTCAAACCAAAGCCCAGGGGGGCATACGCATCTTTCTCCCCAGTGAAGTCTACTTTACTTTCTAACTTCAGCTTATCCAGTCAATTCTGGATATAATTGGATGGTGCATCTATATGGGACACGAACATACATGAATACCGCTCTCCATTCTCCTCCCTCCCCAAATGCTGGATCCTCCAAACCCAAGATCACAGAAGAAACCAGCGCTCAGGGTACTATTCAACCAAAGCCCGATAATGTTAGGGAGGAAGACGGCTGTGAGGTCGATTAAATAACCACCAGTGCATTATGAAAAGACTTTGGACAAGAAGAGAAGTCAACTTGAAAGCGGGTGCAATGGAAGCACAATATTTATTCTTTAAACGGTGCAGACAAAGAGGAGGGCACAAAGCAGCAGCCCAAACGTGGTGTGACGCTGGCAGAAGCTGCCCCATGGCATCGCCACCTCTGCCGAGGCTGGGCAGGGCACCAGACGTGCCGTCCTGGCCCCGGGTGTGTGCACACACCATCAGCGCGTTACAGGGGACGGCCCGCACGCACAGCTCCAGAAGCTACATCCCCACCAAGAGATGGTTTAGATCCCCAAATCCACTCGCTCCAAAGGGCCGAGGGGTGCTCCGAACCCACACAGCAACCGGGGCTGCACGGGTGCACGAGAGACTGGGGGAGGTAAAAGAATGCTGGGGGCTGCATGGGGACACTTTGTGAGCCTCTAGCACTGCTGCAAGCTGGTGTGACCACACCGCTGACCCTGCCTGGGGAGCAAGGCTGGACCAGAGACGGGCTAAGGTCCCTTCCAGACTGAATTTCCCTACGGCCCTAGCATTATATTCAAGTTAAAAGACTGGCACTCACCGATCCCAGACTCCTTTTTTAAAAACACACATCCAAATAACCTTATGCTTGGTCCCTACCATCCCCTACCACCATAATTTAAAGATCTCTGTACTGGGGTATTTCTTTGTATTTCAACAGAAGTTGAAATTAACTTCCCTGTTCCAAATGTAATGTGTTTCAAATCACGTTGTGAGCAGCTCATTAATTTAGATTATGTTCTCTGTAGAATAGTTGAAACACCTAAAAAAAGGAATATTTATAAGTTTAAGTGCGGTCAAGGAATTGGCTAAGGTGTTTTAAAAATTAATAAATCAGACAAAAATATTGTTAGTCTGAGTAATCATACTGCAATTTATTCCTTAAT